CCTTGCCCGTAACACAGCTTCACTGTATCCTGAGGTCACCTCTCACCTGACCCCACATGCCTGGATTGAGGTAGCCCAGCTGCATGTATTCGGGGCCAAGGTGCAATGGCTCCCACGAACCCTTTGCAGAAGTGGGTGGGCACTGATTCCCACCCTGTCCAGATAGATCTCCAAGGCTCATGGCTCTAAGCAAAGACCAAAGGACCTTAAGAATAGGGTTCTGTCACCGTTTGTTCTAGCTACTGCTTTCCTACTGGGGAGGCTGGGGGTGGGCACTCAATCAATCCTAGCCAAGCACACTGTGTTGGCCCAGCTGTTTCTGCTGTGGCCCCAGTCTGCCTACATCAGCTTATCTTGCTTGTTCTGAATCAGAAATCACAAACAATCCTCTTAGGAGTCTTCTACCTGCAGAGGTGACTGGCCCCAGCATGACAGACGGAGTGTCTCCCCAGCCCCACTGTGGCTGAGCCTCCCCTCACACTCCAGGCCTATGGGGCTAGCTCAGCCCCGGGTAGGAGTTGACTGCCCTTCAAGAATCCAGCCTGCCTTCTAGGAGACAGACAAAAGATGAACACATTTCTTCTCTGTGCCCTCCATGTTGGTCATTTAGTATACTAGCAACACAAGAATGCATGTTCAGTTGAGAAGAAAAAAAAAAAAAAAAAAAAAAAAAAAAAAACTTGGAACACTGTGACCTGGGCAAGGAAGGTGACAGTTCCTTCTCACCAGTCCCCAGTGGTCTAATGTTCCTCCTGGGAAGCATCCAATTCTAGAAGCTTCTCCTGCTGATTTAAAGCAAATGCAACTACACCATGTATACTCGGTGTGCCTTCAAGAAAACCACGTTTTTGAATGGCTTCCACACCCAAGGGTCAAGAGTCTAATGCCGGCTTACAGACCAGGTAGGCAGGCACGGTATGCTTCCTTGTTGAAAAATGTATTTGATCAAATAAAAAGCCACTTCTGAGATAATCATTTTCAAGTAACTAAAGAGTGTAACAGACAGAAAACCCTGTGATTCTGTTGGGTTGTCTATTCGGATTCTAGGATCCCTGAAATTTCCTGTACCCCTGGTGGGAGAGGTTCTGGGAAGAGCCTAAACCACGTTGGGCGTCAAAAATGTTATTCTTTTGCTTAAATTAGAAATTGGAGAGTGATGGACATGGAACTACAGAGAGCACATTAACCAGTTTATTATAGGGCAGGAGAGCAAGAGGGGGAGAGAGAGGAATGGAAGAACAGAGCAGAGCAGAGAGTAAGAAAGGAGAGAGGAGAGTTAGTGGTCGACTGCTGGAAAGAGAGGAGAGAATAATGCTGTGGGTTTAAAAGGGGGAGCTCACACATGCACACTGAGTCCCTACACAGCCCCATAATGAGTGATGTAGACATGACGTGGCCACGCAACACAGGGTCCTTTAAGCTGCCTAGGTATCTGCCTGAACCTTTCAGATTCCCTGTTGTTCCTTAAACTGATGTGTGAGGTCCCTTGTGAACTACTCTGTAATGAAACTGAAGACGTAGAGATTTTGACATGGCTCCTTGGGTCATTTAGAAACACACTTCCCTGCCTCCCTTGACCACACTAGCTAAGTCAAATCCTCCATAAAAACAGCCCAACAGCCTCTTCCATGTTACCTGCAAACTTCTTCAGGAGGTGCGGTGGGGACTTCTTGAATTCTGGGGTGTATCTCATGGAAGCAGCTGACAGTGATGCGGGGATCAAATATGCCTGGAAGACAGGACACCTCAGCACAGGGGGCCCCACAGCATCCACCTGAAAGATGGGATACCCCAGAACAAAAGGCCCCAGAGCGTCCACACCTGGAAGACGAGACACGTCGGCACAGAGGACCCACAGGGTCCACACCTTAAAGACAGGATACCTCAGCACAGGGGGTACAGGACATGTACATCTGGAAGACAGGACAGGACACCTCAGCATGAAGGGACCTCAGAGTGTTTACACCTGAAGACAGGATACCTCTACACAGGGTGGCTCTGTAGCCACCCGTGGGCGTGTTGTGTGTCAAGCTCTGAGGGCTCTTCCTGGCCCCATGGAAACTGTAGCCACCAACCTGTCCATCATTTCCAGAGCCAAGTCCTCTGCACTGCCCCTCCGGTACCCTGTAAGTAGGAACAACGTTTTTGGTTGAACCAAGAACTGGCTACTGCTCACAGCCAGCCGGTGGTGGAAGGGGGAGGGGTGGACAGAAGAAAACCAGTCCCTGCCTGTTGTGACATCATTTGGAAGCTCGAGGTCATGAAGGTGTCACAGCATTTCATTCTATGGAATGGATGTGTAGCAAGAGAGCCATGCACACTAACAGGCTGGGGAAGGATGCCGGGTGCAAGGTCCTGCTCTGAAGCTTACAGTCAGAGTCCAAGTTCTTCCTTCCTGCAGGCTACCCATGCAGCATTCTGACCTTGGCTACAGGATCAAACTTCTAAATCTTGCCATGCAATCTCTCTGGGAGCACCTGTTTTTATAGGCACTATGAGGGTGCAACTCTGAACAAAATCAAGATCCCATCTGTCTGTGGAAGGAGAGGGAACAAGGCACAGTGAGTCTATGCCTGCACCCTAGAGTGGGTTCCTTCTGCTGGCCACTAGTCGAATGTGTCTTGCAAGGAGTTGAAGCAGTAGACAGCCTTCCTTTTGCCTCCCTGATGGAAACTGCCATATGTTTCAGTATTTTCCAGGTGTTTCGTGAATTCCAGCAGTGTGGCAGAGCTGGGGAGTGAGATGCTAGACATGGTTCTCCCTCCAACTGCAATGTTCTGCAAGGACCTTCTCTGCAGCACACAAGTGGAGCCTGACAGGGCTCTGCCTGCAGATGATGCTCTTATTACTTGCTAACGTAGATGCAGTATTTAATTAACTCGGTTTTATTTGTAAACAAATATGGTTGGCATTTAATAACCGAGAGGATGTGTAGCTCCTGCAAATTTGGCAACTTTACAAAATTAAAAGCCGGTGGCTACACAATATGAAGGAAATTAATTATCCTGGGAGCTCCTGCTCCCTGGGGTGGTTGGTGATCAGCTGTCACTGGAGAAGCAAGTGCAGCCAGGTGCAGCAAAGGAAATGGCTCTCCTGGTGTGGAGGGCAGGGAAGCAGGGATTGCCTGTCAGAGCTCCCCTTCTTTCAGTTTCTCAAATTCACCAAGAGCAGAGCCCTGGCACAGGCAGAGCTGAGGCTGCAGGAGAATCTGGGCTCCATGAAGTGGAAACCCCAGGGCTCATGCCACTGGCCCGGTGTGTTCAGAGGGAAGGTGTGTGCATGTTACCAGCCCACAGTGCCACCCGCAGAGCCGAGGAACTGGGCCCACAGGGCACCTATGAGTCACTTCACAGACCAGGTTTGTGTGATCCCCCGGTGTCTGTCCCTTTGTTGGGTACGTACTCCTCTGTATCAGTGTGAACCAGTCTTCTTGAGGTACTCATCTTCACAGGGCCCTAAACCATTCTTGCTCATTCTCATTCCCTCAAAATCTGCAGAACTTTTTGAGGTATAGAACAGAAACAATAAACAAAAATACAGGGCTTTCAAGGCATGGCAAGTAGAGGAGAGTTGCCACCCTTATAGTGTCAGGTCTCTAAGCCATTACCACAGGCATCTCCTGTGACTGCTGCCGACTCCTTCCATAGCCTTTGGTTTTCATCTTTCACTTTATTTCTATTCAATGTTTTCTGTTATTAATAAAAATTGAACATTTTGTTCCTGACCTATGGGAAATTGATTTCTAGACAAAAGTTGCATCTTGCAATGTGACTTCTAACATAGATACTCATGCATTTTTTACACAAACAGCAGTGGGTGTTTCAGTGGGTTTTCTATGACCTGTGGATCCCCTGGGCCAAGCAGGTACTGGGACAATGGATGAATATGTCTCTATTTCTCATCAGAGAAGCTCACCTTTCCATTGTCACACCTTCACCACCACAAGACACTGTGCTACCACAGGCCCCACAGGCCCATTGTGACACAGCTAAGCTGCCAGGTGTAAACACCTCTGAAACCATGAGCCAAAAAGTCTGTTGTCCTATTTGCTGAGTGTCTCAGGCAACATTGAAACAGAGGTTTTTATGAGAAATCTGAGAAGCTGTCAAGTGACATCCTTAGTTGTTGGGTGTGTGGATGCTAGCCGTATATTGATACATTGCTAAAAGGTTTTACCTGATGGTCACAGGGATGTTAGGTTTAACCCAGAAATGGGGCATTGAGTGGTTGTTAAGGACTGACTACAGCCCTGGATTGTTTGGATGTAGATCTGTAACATTCTAGCT